CGGACTCTGAGCTCCGTCCTGCTGCCTTGTGGGTCTGGCTCTAGTCAAGGGCTTCAGGTGGGAACTCCGAGGTTATCTCCCTTCTTTGGTCAGGACAACCGGGAAGTAACATGCCCACACAACCTATGAACATATTCTATCGGTTTTTTTGCCCCATGTTGTGGCATATTTGCCAATTCTCCGTAATTGGTTGCGTGTCGAAATAATATGGCCTTACGTTGAACCGATCAAGGAGAGATAGAAAGGTGGACGAAGTTCCACTCTACACCTGACTGCGGTATTCAAAAATGGAGTGAACCTGACTTATGTAGAATGAAATGCAGTGAATGGAGGTGAAGAAACGCCTGGCGCGGAAGAGGAAACCGATTTCACCTGCAGCACGAGAGGCAGGTAAATAAATACACGAGGAAGCAGTAGAGGAAATAGGCTAATTTTGCTGTCCGGGCTGCTATATTTTACACGGAGTACGCACCGCGAATGAAGTTATAGCATGCATGTAGAAGGCCCGGTTGGCACTTGCCAACTCTAGACATTCATGCGCCGACGTGACATCTGGTTCTCTGTGAAGGGTCAATTGTATGCTGCAGCATTGGAAAAGAGCCAAGGGTGGTCAAAATAAGACCTCACATGAGGCAATCTACGTGATTGTTGTGGGTCCTTAACTTCAATGGATGTCCCCTAAGATGATTATTTTGAGGTAAAGTTAACACAGAACGGCAAGGGAGGGGGGGGGATTAGGTTGATGCAGTATGTAAAGATTAGGTCCCTCTGAAGTTGGCGGTACTGAGATCAGTAAAACCCCAATATTTGCAGTCTTTCGGAGTATGTTTTGTCATACAGTCCTTTACCGTTTTTGTTACTAACCTTTAGGGATATTCTAGAGCCTTCTTGTCGCGGTTCAACCATAGATTTCATACTTGAACGGTATATTCCGTGTGTGGCCGAATAGGATTTGGCAGCATGCGTGGGGACAGTGCTATTTTGAACTGCTTGAAAGCACGTTTAAGTAGCTCAACTTGATTTGAAGTCATGGATGCTGCTCTGGTACAGTGCATGAAACATCCTGCGTCCTCCAGTACCAAAACTCCCAAATTGCTTTCATCAGTGGCGTGCCGTCGTATTTGGTTCCCCAGAACATAGGAGAAACGAGTCTTCTGCCACTTTATATTTTAAAATGTTGAATTCAATGTCATTGGCGATTGACCATCGTTGGGCTGCATTGATGGATTGATTGGAGTGCTAAATCATTCTCTGGATGTGTTACTGTTCTACAGATTTTAGTGTCGCCGCAAATAGTGGTGTATTGGGCCCAAGGACACGTGGTAGGTCGTTTACAAATGCAAGATGTGACAGTCTAAGTAGCAAAGATGCCCACTTTCTCTATGGCTCCTCCAGATACGGTGCAACGGAGGGCTGGGCCAATTCTGTGACTGTGTTTTGCACTTTGAGGGTATGCAACGGCTACTGAATTGAACTAAACTAACACTCAAATCACTGAAAAAGCTGGGAACCTACCTGGATCTATAACCTGCGTACTCCATGTCAGAAAATTTCTCGCCCGGGTGTGCCTGAAGGACACATAAAATCCGTAATCCTAGAGAAAAAACAGAACCGCATTTCCGAGTGGAGTTGTGAAGTTGAAAACAAGAGGGGGAAGGATGCAGAGGGATAGACTGTGACAACAAACGCTTTCGATGGAGAACTACAGACCTGTAGACCAGAACAGTGAATGCAAAAGAGAGGGAATCCTTCAACATGCCTTCCAAGGTGTACGGCTCATTCGAGTGTGTCAAGGAAGACAGAATTGCTAGGTCCACGGTGTGTGAAGTATGATACCGCTGAAAATCTTTGAACTCATATAAAATAACTCATATAACTCATATAAACTCATATAAAATAAAATAAAAAATAGATCCTCGCACAATTATAAATTTTACCGTAGCCTATTTCCGTTTTAGTCGGACGACTGGTGTACACCGGTAGTAGTTTCGTACTTCGGATAAAAATGCACCCTTTCATTTTTATGTACCTTATTCTGTCTATTTTCCAGTTGCTGTGCCTGATTCCACACATAACGGAACTGGTCAAACAGGCGTTACGACATCGAGCCGAGAATGAGTCATCGCACAAAGCACTTCGACAGCTTCAAGATGATTTGGACGCGGCTCATTCGAACGCACTGCGGCAAAGCACACAAATGGCCGAACACATTTCCAGTCTGACCGAAGAACTGCAAGCCATTCGTGCCCACGGCTGGCACTCACCCGGCTCCACTGATTCCTCTGATCGCAGTGCTAAAAAGGTTCATCAGTATGCAAAAATCATACCACTGTTATTCTATCTTATCGTCCTAATTCGTTTGACCAGTCATGTTTCTAGGGTTCAAGATTCAAACCTCGCCACCACCACCCAACTTTGGTGGTAGGCAGCCTGGCTGTCTCCTGGTTGAATATTACGTCTATGCTTGTTGGGCCTTATGTGTCATCTACCCCGTTTGTTGTTCATCATACAAGAGAGTGTGTGTAGTATAAGAAATTTGGAAAGGATAGTAATTAAATTACACAGAGCTTTCCATTACTTCCTATCTAAGGTCAATAACACTTACTGATTTTATAGGTTTGAAATTTACTTTAATTAAACCAAGTTTCACGAGCGGGAGTTTGTTCTGTCTCCCTCATCTATGCGAATGTCTCATTTCCATAACCCTTTCCATCGGTTTTCGCTCGGTGATCGTTGTTTTTACACTCACGTGTGTGGTGTATATTCCTCTTGTCGACATACCCTTTTGGAATGCAATCATTTAGATAGCATGCAAGACCAACTAAAGCTATCAAGATACAGCTCTCACAACCGGATCCGTAAACCCCTCATAGGACGAAGTATTTTTTTTTCTGTTTGGTATTAAAGCTGCAAGCTGTACAACAAAGGTGATATTGATCTGTGCAGATGACATTGTACTGCTGTGTAAGGAACCAGGTAATCTACCAGTTTCTCTCAAACTAGTAAAATCTGTTACATGGCTGAATTAATTCTTCTGCAACAAGTGAATAGGAAGGTCGTGGGGGGAGGGAGGAAGTCGACTGTTGAATAGCTGCGTCTCTCGATGGGTGTATTTCGGATGAAATTTCGTCATGCCTTTAAAACGCTTGTTTACTGTGTACCTACTTGAAATAGCTACGGTGTTTCTATGAATGTTGTTCTATGTTTTCTTTATCTGTCCGACAAATCCTGCTGTAAGGCGCATACACATGATAGCTATGCATGGAACACACAAATGAAGCCTGTGGATGTTCAAATGCAGCTGTTTATGCAGCATCAGGTAAATGATGCTGTGATCCTCGCGATCCTGTACTGACTCAAGTCTTT